TGTTACAGCCTAGAATAAATCTACCCTCTTTCTTTCCCCTCTGAAATGCTACCGAGTACCTTAGATTTCACTGCTACATTCAAACCCCAGTTGTGGTGTAATAGGGTTATCAGTATTCATTCACTATAGGCCTCACCCTGTCAACCTTTCACCGCCCTATGCAGTACAACCTCACTTCTTCAAACATTAGATCCCCTATTCACTTTCAAAACCAATTACAAATGGCTGTCCTGGTTTTAACGAAAAGCTTCCATGGATTTATTCCAAGCAATCTCATGGCCCATACTTGTATCCACGACTTTCTGCTTCTTCCCTCTACTCATGAGGGAATGACGGTGAAAGGAGGGAGAAAACTTGTTCATCTTGGCCTCTGAGGATAGAACAAGAAGCAATGGGCTTCAACTGCAGCAAGAGAGGTTTAGGTTGGACATTAGGAAAAATTCCTAACTGTCAGGGTGGTCAAAACACTGGAATAAATTGCCCAGGGAGATATTTAAGAGTAGGTTAGATAAATGTCTATCAGGGATGGTCTAGACAGTACTGGGTCCTGCCATGAGGGCAGGGGACTGGACTCGACCTCTCGAGGTCCCTTCCAGTCCCAGTATTCTATGATGAGAATCCTCTTCCTCTTTGGCCCTTCAAACAGTCTCTCTGGTGTTAGTGCACTAGCTTCCTTCTCTGCAGCTCCTGTCATCACCTTCCTGTATCTTTTCAATTGACATCAACCATCCATCTCACCTGACATTTCAAATAAAATCCCTATGCTTCCTCCCCTTTACTTATACCTCAGTCTCTCTCTGCTGTTACTGATCTCTCTTCAAACTTTCATTAGTTACACCTGTAAAACAACAAATGGCCTGGTAGCACTTTATAGACTAGCAAAACGTGTAGGTGGTATCATGAGCTTTCGTGGGCACAGCCCACTTCTTCAGATGACTGGAGTGTTGGATGTCCAGTGTCGGTTATAGTGTTGGAGTGTTCTGGACATCCAACACTCCCGTCATCTGAAGAAGTGGGCTGTGCCCACGAAAGCTCATGATACCATCTACATATTTTGCTGGTCTATAAAATGCTACCAGACCATTTGTTGTTTTTTAAGTTTATCCTGCACAGACTAACTCAGCTCCCCCCGAAGCACCTGTAAAACAGTTCAGGATGCAGTTGACAAGAAATATGGGGCACAAAATGAAGCTATATTGCACCACATAAAGTGTTACCCTGACTCTGGGGATCGCAATAGTTCAGGCCCCGATTTAGAGCATAGGTGCTGTTAGAATAGTAAAAAAAAAAAAATCTCAAATTATTTATTATTCCAATTCTCAACAAAAAAAGTAACAGCAGTGTAGCGCAAGGGCCCAAACTCCTGTACTAGTCAACTTAGTGGTACCTACTAAATAGCACCATGCAGTTCATGGGACTAAACTCACTAATAAGTGTTTACAGGTTGAGGCCAACGCACACTGTCTTGATTATGGGAAAGCTTTCTGGTTGATTTCTTTTCAGTTTATTTTAATGTTAAGATCATCTAATGAACAAGAAGTAAAGAGACAAAGGAAAAACTAGTTACATGAGGGTAGCTATGGAATGCAAAATGTGTAACACCTTCAATTTATTTCTGATGTCACTGGAGGGAACCCCAGACTGCCACACTGGATGACATGAAGCCCTTTCATCTTTCCCATGTGTAAAACCAGAGCAAATCCACTGAACAGTAAATATCTGAGAGCCTCTCGTTGGTACTATAATGCAACTTCCATAGCTGGTGTTACTTAGAATGCGCTGATCTGTTTTATATAAAATAAGGTGAAATTTATAGCTACATTGAAATATTTTTAAACATTCCTCCAACACAGAGTTTAAAGACACTGCTTTTATGGAATAGGGATGTTAACTATCAGGTATTTGTGCGTGTAACTGCTTGAAATTTTAGCATTTACATGCGATTGGGGGGGCCAGGTGAGAGCCGCTGCTTGCAGGCAGCCAGCTTTTAAGCCTGCTCCTCCTGAGCACTGGCTCCCACCTTGCCACTGTGAGAGGCAGCAAAGGGGGGGCAGGCAGCATAGAGAGATGGCTTAAAAGTCAGCTCCTGGCAGGAGCCGGCTCCTGCCTGCCCCTCCCACTGCCTCTGTGGGTGGCAGCCAGGGGGCAGGTTCCCTGTGCATGCTGGCTCCCACCTGCCCCACCACGCTGCTGGGAGGCGGGGGAGGGAGGGGCAGGTGGCTCGTGCAAGGAGCTGACTCCACACAATCCAACTGCACATTGGACAACAGTGTGTGAGGGGAGAGGACCATTTACCATGATGGCTACAACACAAAGTGTTAACCATAGCACAGAATACACTTGTGCATTAATGCTGTCCCACTGGTATTTCAAAATAGAAAAATTAAGAAACAATTTCAGGAAATACAGGGGGAAAATAATTTCAGGAAATTAATATAACTAGCTATCTGTATATTTACTAGAACATGATTTTTCAAGCAGCCTGAGCAGCTCAGGTTTCCTGTAATAAAGCATTAATTAATTGAAATATACAAGCTGATTTCTCAGCACTGCTTTTGATTCATTTTCCTCTATTTTAATAGGCTGCTTAGAAAAGTTTAAACCAAGAGAATCAAAAACTTTAGAACTGTATCAATTTCTCATCCCAACATGTATGTTTCATGTGCGCACACACACACAAAATGTCAGCTTAAGTTTTTCTTTCTTGTAATGTTTTAAATATTCAAATTCTTATGCATGCAATCCTGCAGCCTTTCCCCCCAGAGCTCTCATTGCAAATGGTGCTGTTGTGTGTTTATTGAGAGCTTGACGTTATAGTGGTGGCACTGTTTAGAGAACTATACATACATGACAGCTTTTGGTGAACTTCATGCAAGAACTTATACTGCAAACCCTTTGTCCAGTGAGTAGTCTTATTTGTGCAAATATTCCTGTTGGGTTCCTTGCATAAGAAAGGATGGGACTATGAACTTTGAGATGCAAGGGGAATTAGGAAGTATTACACTTAAAAGACCATCTATTTAGAATTAATTGACAGTCCCTACAGAAGTCTGGCTCTACTATATCACAGTTACTTGCAATGCCTGAATATTTCTGTTACAAATTTCAGTATCATTAGGATGCAGTTGTAATTATTCTTACATTGTAGTTCTATTAAACTCATACCACATTTCTCAGGATATATAAGGCCTAATTTTCAGAGATGCTGAGTTCCCAAAATGCAAAATGAAGTCTGATGTAGCTCTCAATATTAAGCACCTAAGAAACTTGAACTTCTTACGTATATTTTAATCCTTTCTTTAAATTGGAGTTGCCCCTAGAGGCACCAGCCAAAGTCAGGGCTCCTGTGTGTTAGATGCTGACACACTGACAGGCTCCACTTTGAAGAGTCTACAGTCTAAAATAAGACAAAGGGTGGGAGAAGGAACTGGTATTATCTCCATTTTACAGATGGAGAAATAGATGCATAGTGAGAGAGAGAGAGACTTGCCCAAGGTCACAGAGGATCTGAGACAAAGCCAAAAATAGACTTTGGAGCTCAATTCCAATCCAACTCCTTCTCTAGACTAGGGATGTAAATGATTAACCTGTTAACAGCACTCTTACTGGGTGATGGTTACAGTTAACTGGCAGGGACTGGAGCAGTCCCCCTGCCCACGGTGACTGGGGGCCAGGTCCTCTGGGCCAGGCTTCTCCAAACGAGCCGGATATTGGATTGGGAAAAGTACTGAAAGACAATGGGAGAAAGGAGTCGTATGGCACAAAGAAAAGGAGAACTAAGGCATAGCCTGGGACAAAAGTCAGTAGTAAGGACCTTACAGAGGTAGAAGAGTTTAAACACTACACAAAAGAGACAGAAGCCAAATGGGAGATTCAAGTGGGGAGGGAAGTAACATGTTGAACTGGTGAGACAAACAGATGGATATGGTCTGACTTGACGGGAGACACCTGACAAGCTGGGGGAGAAGCCAGATAGGAAAAGGCTAAAGTTATCAAAATGACAAGGGCTTATTATATCAGTGCACCAGCAATTAAAAAGAAAAAAACACTTCAGTTGATTAGCTTTGTTCTTAGCCAAAAATACAAGGGCTGCATTTAAGGATGCTGCTGATTTCCTTTAACCTCAAGGTGCATTATGTGTATCTCTGTAATAGAGACTGCAGTGACAGGCGCTCATGCGTAGATGTGAATGACATCTACCCACACAAATAATCCCAACAACTTCAGTGGGTTTACTCACGTGGATCCACCTGGTGTTTGTACTTAATAGGACTTGCTAGAAGAAGAGGTGGCAAGTTGTCCTCATATTATATAAGGACCAGAGACTCTCCCATATACCCTGGATTCTATAGTTTTCCTCTCCAAGCCATCTGATAAAGTGGGTTTTAACCACGCAAGCTCATGATACTATCTTTGTTTGTGTCTAAAGTGCCACAGGACTACTCGTTGTTTTTAAATTTACAGACTACCATGGCTACGCCTCTGAGACTATTTATAACTAAAGTTGTCCAAGCGTCATCTCAGACAAGAAGCAGGATGGGGAGAAGGGAAGCTGGAGGAAGTCAGAAAAAGGAAAACGTATGGTCTTGTAATGAAGGCTAAGAAGATTTGGTTTCAATTGCTGGCTTTGCCACAGACTTCACATGTATGACGGGTAAGTCACTTTATTTCTCTTTTCTTTGGTTCCCCATCTAGAATATGGAACGAAGACTTCCCTCTTCTCACCTTTTGTGTCTCTCTCATAAAGGCAAAAACTGTTGTTTACTATGTATACATACTGTAATGGGTGCACTATGCCCTGATCTCAGTTGGTGCTTCTGGACATTGTCATCCATTCTGGTAATCTCGGCTATTTTTGGCCCCTATGAAGATGTGGAAGAGAATGTACTTTTCTAGTGTAAGAAAACACTGAGACGCTATTTTGGCTTACATATGCCACTTGCCATCTGAAATGCTCACATTGCCTGTTCCTTAGTAGAGAGCTGCCAAACTCTTCTCACCTTATAAATGGAAATGCTGTAGCCTCCTTGAGCCCGGATAGGGTGGCTTGCCCCTTCCAAAGGTTGGAAGTCTGGAATCAGCCAGCCTTGGCCAATTATTCCTGCCTGTCCCACCTGGGATGAGGAATGAGATGGTGTTTAATTAGTAGAACCAGCTGAGCACTTATTCCCCAATGAAAAGCAACAGAAAGCTACAGCATGAGAAATGCTCCGGGAACCTAACCACCACTATGGAGTGGGAGTGAAATACTCTAGAAATGTCTGCGAATGCACAGAACACACCCTAGCAAGGAAATGTTTTCAGGCAGGGAAGGCCTAGGAGTGTGGTCTGCAGGGGGATTCTGGGTACTAGGCTGTGTTGTTAAATTCATCTCTGCACTGCGATGTTGATGAATCAGAGATCAGTTTGTGGTGCTGAGCTGAGCTGAGCGAAGGGGCCCTGAGTTACAGACCAGGGGCACAGAGACAGGAGCCTGGGGAAGCAGCAGCCCCCGAGCTCCCTGCAGACAGAAATTGCTCCGGGGAGGTTAAGTGGCTCCCTGGGCTCTAACAGAGGTAGGGAGCAGGGCTTGAATGCCAGCTTCCCAGGTGGCCAGCTCCCGCCCCCCCAATGCTGCTGCCTCTGTCAGCAGCAACACAGAGGGCAGGAGCGCAGCAGGACCCGGTTCCTGGGGGGGGGGGGGGCTTAAAACGCGGCCCCCGC